CACAGTCCATCACTGCTGTCTATCACTGGGTGACACAGTCCATCATTCCTGTCTATCACTGGGTGATACACTTGATCACTCCTGTCTCTGACTGGGTGATAAACTTGATAATTCTTGAATTTGGGTGATGCACTCGATTTTTCCATTTCTGTGAAAAGGCAAAGTGCTGGGAGCTGAACAGCCTCACGTGGGAAACAAGACAACTGTGACTCACCAAGACTTCAGGATGAGCATGCAATGTGCCACTGAAATGTTGAATCCTCTCATTCACCAGGTTCATTGAGCCAATCACGAATGCTGAACGTTATTGGTTAAGTGAAAAATAAATGATATTTCTGTGAAACTGCTGCAACATCAATCTCAGGGGTATAATCTTCCCCTAATCACCCCACTCTGCCCTTCATCTCCCTCCATCCTCCAGTCCACTCTCTTAATTCCTCTTCCTCTCTCCCACTCTCCCTTTTCTTTCCTCACCCTCTACCAACTCCACTTTCTCGCTCCTAAAATTCCCTCTTTCCTTTCTCCATTGATGGCCCTTCTTGTTGTCCTCTTCCCCACTTCCCGCCTTTCTTTTCCCATTGTCCAACATCTCCCCTTTCTCTCCTAGCTTCCCATTCCTGTGCCCGTTCAAATCCACCTCCACAACCTCCTATCTCACCCTCCTCTCTCCCACACACTGCTGCACCTTCCTCAGTTCTCAGTGCTGGCTGCCTACACGAGTGATGAAATTGCATTTTTAAAAACAGCTGAACAAAGCCCAGTCTGAGCTGGGGAATCTTCAGCCCCAGAGCAAGTGTCACTACCACCCAGCCCTGGGGGTATCACTTGGCTGAGTTGATGACCATCCCTCCTGTTTCAAGCCTTACTTTTGAGAATGGCATCCAACAACCACTGACAGACTGCCATTTCAGCATAAGACTTGTCACTCGCGTGAAGGGTTATACCAAGACTGCATTCACAATTTCAGGTGGACATCAAAGATCCCACAGCACAACTTATAAGAATACACAGCACTCCCTGGTTTCCCAGCCAATATTTAACACCAAGGCAGATGGTAGTTGTAGAGGGGTGCTTTTCTGACTGGAGGTCTGCGACCAGTGGTGTCCCACAAGCATCATTGCCAGGACCTCTGATGTTTGTACCACATATAAACGTCCTCCCAGGACAGGTACAGCAGGGTTAGATACAGAGTAAAGCTCCCTCTACTTTTTAAAACAAAGTAAAGCCTCTCCACATTGTCTCTACCAAACACTCCCAGGACAGGGACAGCATGGGGTTAGATAGACAGTAAAGGTCTCTCTACTCTTAATCAGAAAGTAAAGCTCTCTCTACTACTGTAAACTGAAAGTAACCTAAAATAAAGCTGACTCTACACTGTCTCCATCAAACACTCCAAGGCAAGAGACAGCATGTGTTTAAGAGACAGAATAAAACTCCATTTATGCTGTCTCTCATCAAAACCTGTGAGGCCAAGTACAGCTTGAGGTTCTCTACAGAATAAAGCTCCATCTCCACTGTCCTCCATCAAAAAGTCTCAGGTCAGGTATATCACAACGTTAGATAGAGAATGAAGCTCACTCGACACTATTCCCATTAAACACATCCAGGATATGTATTGCAGTTCACTGGTTAGCACCGCTGCCTCACAGCACCAGGAACCTGGCGAGTTATGGTCTGTTCTGGTGTCCTCCAGGAGCACCCAGTACGCCCTAACACACTGGCCACACGGCCATACATCAAGAACATATCTAAACTGACAACAAGAGTCCTAAGACCACTAGGAATCATGGTGGCTCACAAGCCCACAGCCACTCTACAACAAACACTTACAAGGATAAAAGACCCCATTCCCACAACATGCAGAACCAACGTGGTTTACAAAATACCATGTAATGACTGCCACAAACGTTACATCAGACAGACAGGAAGGAAACTAGCCATCAGAATACATGAACATCAGCTAACAGCAAAATGGCACGACGAACTCTCCTTAATATCGGTGCACTCAGACAATGAGGGCTATCAGTTTAACTGGGACAAGGTAACTCGAGTAACCCAAGCCAAACATAGGCATGCATAGGAATTCCCAGAGGCATGGTTCTCCACCTGTAATGCAATCAACAAATACATAGAATTGGACACCGTATACAAACCCCTACAGATCAAAACCAGAAATGACACTACTCACCATAACGGACCAAACAGTATAAATTCCAAGCTGAGCAGAATAACACTGCTTCATCGGAGGCTCCACTGATGATGTCACCTAACACAGTCTGAACAAAAACAAGCCAGCTCGGTGAGCAAATCAACAATCTCAGATTAAACTGGTTTTCAGCTGTCACTCCTATGAGTCAGTGTCCTATCAGCTATCTTCTCACATTGTCTGCTGTCTCCCCGATACCTTGACAATGACAAGAGCCCCACACAACATAGGAATTGAGCAAAAATAAAAGGATGCGAGCAGGAGAATCCTGCAAACGTTTCTTCACCATCTGTCTCCGCCGGGCTGCCACCTCCACTGGTAAATCTATATCCTCTTCATAGAGCGCCAATGGAGTAAGAGCTGTGTTGATCTCAACCATCTTCACACTGCTTACCCACCCTGAGTGGAGAATGCAGAACATATCCAACTTAACATGGTCACCTGCTAACCAGCATGGTTAGGAACGGGAGAGGGGGCAGGAAAGTGGGAGGGGGAGTGAGGGTGGATTGTGAGGAGTGGGAGGGGGCCAGGGGAGTGGGAATGGGGGCAGAGGTGTAGGACAGGGAGCAGGGTGTAGGAGTCAGGGTAGAGAAGCAGGAGAGGCTTTCTTTAGTTTTCTCACTCTATTTCTCTGTTTTGTCTGTGTTTTTCTCACACTCTCTCTGTCTACTTCTCTGTCTTGTGTCTCCAACTCTTTATGATCTTCCTTACTCTCTCTATCCCTCTGTTGTCTCTGAGTTTTCTCTCCTATCTTTTTATTCTTGTTATCTCTCTCACTCTCTCTGACTCTCAGTTCTCTCTTATGCTGTATTCTCTCTCTACTCTCAATCTCAATGCTCTCTCATTATTCTATTTTTTCTCACTTTATTCGCTCTCACTCTTTATTCTCTCTCTATCTCCTCTCTCACTCTCTATTCTTTCTATCACTTTCCCCCTCACTCTATTTGCTCTCTCTGTTCTTGCTCTCACTCTCTATTCTCTTTCTCTCCATTGTCTCTTTTCTTCTGTCTATTATTCTGTCTCCTACTCTATCTCTCTATTCTCTCTGTTTCTATTCTCTACTCTCTCCATCTCTTTATTCTCTTACACTATCTCTGTTCTCTTCCTCTCTCTATCCTCTTTCTGTATCTCTGTTTTCTTCCTCACTTTCTATTTTCTCTTGCGTTATTCTTGCTGTCACTCTCTATTTTCTTTCCCTATACTCACTCCGTCTATTTCACTCATCTCTCTATTCTCTGTCCAGTTTTATGTTGTCTCCCTCTATCTCTCTATTTCACTCTCTATTATCTCTATTTCTCTATTTCTTCTTTCGTTCTGTTGTCTCTAGCTCTCTGTTTCCTCCCTCAATCTCTCTATTCTTACTCTATTTTTTCTTTCTCCCTATTCACTCACTCTCGTCTCTCTCACTTTAACTCTCTTTTCTCACTATCTCTCTCTCACACTCTCTATTCTCTCCCTCTATTCCGTCTCCTCTATATCTCTTGGTATTCTCATTTTTTTATTTCTTCTCTCTCGCACTGTCTGTATTCACTCTTTTTCCCTCTCTCTCTCACTGTTCTCTCTCTCTCTGTTCTCTCACTCTCTATTCTCTCGCTCTATTCTCTGACTCTCTGTTCTCTCTATGTTCTCTCTCTCACTCACTCTATTGTCTCTGTCTCACTCTCTGTTCTCTTTCTCTATTCTCTGTTGTCTCTCTCCCTCTCTCCATTGTTGAGGCTGTTGCTGTGGGAACCGGGTGCCCCACATTGTCGGGGGAGGGGGTGATCTGTGTTAAGAATGGTTTCTGGCCGGTCACTAGGTTCCGGACAGTGGGTAGCTGCTCGGAAATATATTATAAAAGTTTGCAGTATGAGGAATGTGACGGCGGCTGAGGCAGAGAGCGCGGAAATGCGCTGAGAGTTAAATTGTTCATCACACCAATCCTCCCTCCTCGCCATGATGGACTCATCCAGTGAGGGTGGGCGCAGGCGCAGAATCTGGAGGAACTGGAGGAACAACAGAAGGTGAGATGGGGGGAGGGGGGGAGAGAGAGAGGAAAGGGGAGAAGGTGAGAGAGAGAACAGATAGATACAGAGAGGGAGAGAGAGGAAGGGGAGAAGGTGAGAGAGAGAACAGATAGATACAGAGAGGGAGAGAGAGGGAAGGAGGGAAAGGGGGAGGAGCAGAAAGAGAGGAAAGGGTAGGGAGAGAGTGGGGGAAAGGGGAGAGCCTCGAATAAATTCAGTGACCCAGTCTTTGCTGCTATCGGGAATAGAATTTCACAGAATAATGACCATCTGAGAAAAAAAAGTGGCCTCTCCATCTGAAGAGCAAGACCTCCTTAATCTTATACCGTATCCCCTTGTTCTAGTCTGTTGTACACGATGATACATCATCTCAGCGTTCACTCTATTAAATCTCCTCAGGACATTAAATGTTACAATAAAACCATCTTGCATTCTCTAAACTTGAATGGATATAGGTTTAATCTGCTCAACCTCTCTTCTAGGAACGAGTCTACTGAAGCTTCCCTCACTGCTTTTAATGCAATTATATCCTTTTTTCCGATATGGACATATTACAGTCCACAGTGCTGCAAATGAAGTTCACCAAGTTCCTGTATAGCAGTAAATCACCACTACTTTTAAAGTCTGTTCCCCTTCCAATAATTGTCAATGCTTCATTTGTTCACCTAATCACTTGTGAACCTGCACACTCACCTTTTGTGATCAATGTACCAGGGCACCGAGATCCCTCTGTACTTCCAAGTTCTGTGATCTTTCTCCATTTATAGAATGTACTGCTTTTCTATTCTTCCAGTCAAAGTGGGCAAGTTCACGTTTTCCCATATTATATTCCATCTGCCAAATTTTTTTTTCCTACTCTATTAACCTATGCAGACTGTCTACATCGTCTTTTCAATTTACTAGCTTGGTGTTATCAGCAAATTTGGCCAACAACATTTAATTCTCACATCCAAATCATGTATATGAATAGTAAATAATTGAGACTCCAGCACTGAGTCCTGTGACACTCCATTAGTTTTAGCTTTCCAACTCGAGGAAGACATGAATTCCTACTTTCTGCTTTCTTTTGGCTAATCAGTCATCTATCCCTGCTAATGTGTTATAGTCTACAGATTCTCCGTTGTTCTCTTTTGCTTGTTACTGCTTCAAGGTGCCAATCTCTTTTTTATTAGATTAACACCGGACTGAGAGGTTATAACTAATAGAAAAGACTAAACAAGCTGCAACATATTCCTGTAGAAAACAAAAGACCTCAATAAAGCTATCCCTTGGCCTGCCAGATTATGTTTGGTAGTAGAGATGATAGATGTTTACAGCACCGAAGGAGGATATTCAGCTTATTATGTCTGCACCGGTCAGCAAAGATACGACCGCACTAATCCCAGATTCTGGCCCATAGCCCTGAAAGCTACAGCGAAGGAAGTGAATATCTAAATACTGCTTAAGTGTTCTGATAATTTCTGACTCTGCCACCCTTTGAGATAGTGAATTCCAGATTCTCACCACCCTCTGAGTGAAAACATTTCCGCTCAATTCTCCTCTTAGCCTTTTACCTCTTAAATCTATGACACCCCTGGTTATTAACCCTTCAATTAATGGAACAATTGCCTTTATAGCCACTATCTGTGTCGTTCATAATCTTGTACACCTCTATCAGTCCCTCTCAACCTTCTGTGCTCCAAGGCAAACAACCTGAGCCTATCCAATCTTTTCTCATTGCTGGACCCTCCAACCCAGGCAATATCCTGTTAAATCTCCTCTGCACTCTCTTGTGCAATCACATCCTTCCTATAGTGTGGTGACCAGAACTGCACACAGTACTCCAGCTATGGCCTAAACAGCATTTTATACATTCCAATCATAACCTTCCTGCTCTTTTATCCAATCCTTGGCTAATGAAGGCAAATATCCCAATTCTTTCCTCATCACCCTTTGTACCTGTCCTGATACCTTCAGGTGTCTGTGGATATACGTGCCAAGTTCCTTCTGATCTTCAGTGCTTTCCAGGATCTTACTATTTTTAGTGGAATTTCTTGTTAACCCTCCCTGGTTGTACTGGTGTTATACCGGAAACCAGGACCATAAAATAGTGGAATTCAGCATTAAATTTGAGAGGGAGAAATGTGGATCAGAAGTAGCTGTTACAAGCAGAAGTAAGGGTAGTTAGAAAGGAATGAGGACAGACCTAGCTGGTGTGGCCTTGGAAAGGAGTTTAGTAGCAAAGACAGTTGAGGAATAATGACGGATTTTTGAGAAAATAGTTAATGACTCACAACATAGATACATATGAGCGAGAAAGAAGGATTCTAGGAAGGTGATAAGCCAACCTTGGTTAACCAAGGAAGCATCAAATTGAAAGAAAAAAAATATAATGTGGGAACAATTATTGGTAAGCCAGAGGATTGGGAAAGATTTAGAAACCTACAAAAGACAACCAAAAAAAAATGAGAAGATAACATTTGAGGGTAAACTTGCAAGTAATATCAAGATGGACAACAAGAGCTTCTATAAATATTTACAAAGAAGAGAGTTAACAAAGGCCACTTAGAGAACAAGGCTGAGGAAATAATAATGGGAACCCAGGAAATTGGAGAGGAATTGAATATATACTTTGTAACACAGTAGAAGATGCTAATAGTGTTCCAAAATTACTAAATAATCAAGGGGCAAAAGAAGGAGAAGAAATAAATAAATACAGTGCTATCATGAGAGAAGAAGTTCTATGGAAATTAAAGGGTGTAAAAACCAATAACTTCCCTGAACCTGATGGGATGCATCTGAGAACTATAAGAGCAGAAAGTTTATGTTAGAGCTGTACAAAACTTCGGCTAGGCCACAGCTGGAGTACTGTGTGTAGCTCTGATTGCCACACTATAGGAAGAATGTGATTACACTGGAGGGGTGCAGAGGAGATTCGCTAGGATGTTGGCTGGGTTGGAGTATATTGGCTATGAAAAGAGGCTGGGTTATTTTCTTTAAACAGAAAAAACTGAGGGAGGGAGGTTGGGTGTGATTTGATTGAAGTGTATAAAATTGAGTGGCATGGACAGGGGATGAAGCAGTTGTTCCCCTTAGTTGAAGGGCTGATAACAAGGGGCCATAATGTTAAGGTGAAAAGCAGGAGGTTTAGAGGGCATTTGAGAAAATACTTTTGTTCACTCAGAGGGGGACCTAGACAGTAGACTCAGCGTGGCATATTCAAATTTGCTGACAAAAAATATATAAACTGAGAGGAGGACGCAAAGAGATATAGGCAGGTTAATTGAGTGGGCAACAAAATGGCAGGTGTGGAAATGTGAGGTTCTTCACTATGTTAATAGAAAAACTGAATATTTTAAAAGGTAGTAAACATCTAAATTTTGCCATTCACAGGACTTGGGTACACTTGTTTGAGGAATACAAAGTTAGCATGCAGGTACAACAAATTATTTGCTAGGCAATTGTAGCGGCTTGAATTGCAAGTGAGTTGGAGTATAGGAAAAGGAAATTTTGCAGCAATAAAGGACTTTGGTGATATCACATCTGGAATACTGTGTGCAGTTTTGGTCATCCTATTTAAGAAAAGATAGACTTGCATTGAAGGCGGTAATGAAGCTTCATTAAATTGGTCCCTGAGATGAGAGGCTAAGTAAATTGTATATTCTGTAGAGTTTGGAAGAATGGGAGGTGATTTCATTGAGATATATTAGGGAACTGACAGGTCAACCCAAGAGATTGTTTCCACAGGGCAGTGAATCTAGGGACACAGTTTCAGGATAAGGGACTTTCAGGATAAGGGACTGATCATTTGGAACTTAGGTGAGGAGTTCCTTCAGTCAGAGGGCTTTGAATTTTTGGAGTTGTCATTGAAAACATTTAAGACCGAGATTGACAGATTTTTGGTGTTTCAGAATCAAGTGATATGGAAAAGTAGAATTGAGACAGAGGATTAGCCATGCAAGGTTTTTGTACTATTTGTTCTTGGGATGTAGGTGTCATTGGCTAGTCCAGCATTTACTGCCCATCCTCTGTCTACCTATCTGTCTGTCTATCTATCTATCTGTCTATTTTCACGTGTATTATTTTGCAAAATAAATGAAAAGTGCTGTACAGCTCGGGCGCCATCTTAAAAGACAGAAAAATAAACCAAAACAGAGAGCACGAAAGGCAGAAGAATAAAGAAATAGTGTTCAACTTTGCAGTCCTTCTTGTTAAGTGCTCTGCTGTGGGCCTGGTTGCCAACCATGAGTTACCTGGAGAAGGTGGTGTGAGCTATCTTTTTGAATTGCTGCGGTCATGCTGTAGGTAGACCCACAATGTGAGGAAGGAAGTTCCAGGATTTTGACCCAGCAACACTGAAGGAACAACCGTAAATTTCCGAATCAGGACAGTGTGTTGTTTCCATGTACCTGCTACCTTTGTCCTTCTAGATGGAGAGGTGGTCAGTTTGGATGGTGCTTTTGAAGTATTGGTGAGTTACAGTTGGTATACATTCCTGCTACTGAGTGTCAGTAGTGAAGGGAGTGAATGTTGAAGGTAGTAGATGGGTGCCAGTCAAATGGACTGTTTTATCCTGGATAGTGTCGAACTTCTTGAGTGTTTTTGAAAGTGCACCCCGTCCAGGCGAGTGGGGAGTATTCCAATACAATTGTGACTTTTGTCTTTTAGATGGTGGACAGGAGTTGTGTTACTCACTGCAGAATTCCTCCCCCTGACCGGCTCTTGAGCTTATGTGGAAAGAAGGAGCAGGTTCAAGAGGCTAAATGGCCTTTTCCTGTTTCATGTTTAATGTTTTTGCTGTGTTCTGGTCTGAGATTTGATCCTCTTCTCCAGGCTATGTACATGGTGTGGCCTGTGTGACATATCCCCAGAATCCTCCATGTCCTTCTCCAGCTGTCTTCTTGTCTCGTGACTGCATCTCCTCTCTATGTGTTACTGTACTCTGCCTGATGGTCTTCTTTGTGCATTTACAGGTAACGGGACCTGAAGAAGAGCCATGCCTCTGTTTGGCAATGTCTTTAGTCCGAAGAAAACTCCGCCCCGAAAATCAGCCTCTCTTTCCAGCTTGCACACAGTATGTTGTCGTTGGGGGTGTGAACAACTTTGTCACACCTAGCTGCTGAGAAATGTTAACTTATGTATTGCTGCTCGGACATCACTGTCCCCTCGTACAGTGCACTTTGTACCTACATCTGTCTCTCCTGGACTGGAGGGAGCCTTTTTCCCTCCCAGCTGCATGGTATGAAGGTGACAGTGAGACCAGATTGTTGTTGGAGCACTCAAACCATCCAAGTCATGAAGAGCATACTGGTCCAGGCCACTGACTACATGCTATGGTGCAAGGGCAGAACATGTCTGTGGTGGAGGAATGCTCTTGCCAAGTGTGATGTGGTGGGCCGTCAGTGGCTCTCTGATAGTTTACCTGGGACAGTGGTTTGTTTAATCCTGTATGGGTTATCGTCTTGGGGATGGTGAGTATTGCTGTGTGGAATGCTGGCTGTAACATTTCTGGGCCTATGTCTATTCCAGCTTGATCGTGTGAGCCGTGAGATTGAACTGGGCTTGGATCATGGTGCTCCTGTGATGAATATTGGAGGACAGAGCCTGAAGTTTGACAATGGCCAATGGGTGTCAGGTTGGTGTGACTTCTTTTAAAATGTTTGACATGTTCTGATGAAGTCAGAGTGGACTTGCTACATCTCCCTCCCTCTGCATCCCCAGGTTGTGAGTCCACTCAATGGACTGCCTGCTTCTACAGCATCTTACATGCTTTCTGATAATATCTACCTCACTCTCAGTATTCTCATTAGCCCTGTGGTCACACACTGACTTTGAGTTGTAGTCCTGCTCCAGAAACCTGAGCAAATAATTGAGAGCTGAGGGCTATTAAGGCACGGTGGTAGTATCCTCAGCTCTGGGCCAGAAGGCTTCGGTTCAAGACCCACCTGCTAAAAAGGTGTGCCATGACACATCTGAACAGATTGATTAAAATAGCTATAATGGAGAGCTGGCAACCAATGCTGAAGGAGTGCTGCTCTGTCAGACGTGCCATCTTTCCAATCAGATGTTAAGTCAACATCTCTTATGCTCTCAGGTGGATGTGAGAGAGGTCCCATGGCATGATGTTATCAAAGAACAGGAGTATTCTCATTTAATGTTTATATAGCAACTGTAAATATATAAAACAATTTATCTGATCTATGTGCTCAACTACATTTCCATGTTTTCCTCCTTCACTTGCCTTGTCCCTCTGTCTCTTTAAAATAATGAAATTTGGGCCAGATTGCATGTGCAAGCTCTTTTATTCAGATAGTCTCATGCCCCTCCTCCTTCCCAATAGACTATTATTTTCCTTGCCCCTCAAATACGTTTTCACTTTTAAGGGTTACTGTCAAATCTTCTTCCTTCACCTCTTTGGGCCAATGCGTTCCAGATCATATTAATTTGCTGTGGAAAATGCCATTTTCCTCTGGTTGCTTTGCCAATCACCAGTGTTGTCGCTAGAAGCATAAAATCATGAATTGAGTCTGCTCTGCCATTTAAGAAGATTATGGCTGATCTGATGGTAACTTCAAATCTGCATTTGTGCATATCCTGGATAACCTTTCACCCCTACCTGCTTAACAAGAATCTCTCCACCTCTGCCTTAAAGATATTAAAAGACTCTGCTTCCACCATCTTTTCAGGAAGAAAATTTCAAAGAAGTGATCCTCTGAGAGAAACAATTTCACCTCATCTCTATTTTAACAGAGCAACCCCTGATTTTCAAATAGTGATCTCTACTTTCAGACTCTCCCATAGAGGAAACATCCTCTCCGCACTTACCCTATCATGACCTCTCAGGATCCTATATGTTACAATGAAGTCACCTCTTATTCATCTAAACCCCGAAGGATACAATCCTAGCCTTTCCTCATAAGACAACCCATCCAATCCAGGTTTTAGCCTTGTGAACCTTCTCTATACTGTCTTCAATGCATTTACATTTTTCCTTAAATAAGGTGACCGTGACTGTGCACAGTTCTCCAGGTGAAACAGTTTCTACTTATTTACTCAATCAAAACCCTCTTCATTTTGAGCATCTATCAACTCTCCTCTGAAAACTCTGCTCTCCAGACTCCATAAAGCTGATGTTCCTCATCCCTAGAACCACCTATGAATCTCTGCACTGTCTCTAAGGCCTTGATATTCTTCCTGAATGTCATACTTAGAACTGAGCTCAAGACTGTAGCTGGGGCCTAAACTCATTTGTAAAGGTTTGGCATAGCTTTCTTGTTTTTAATTTCTATTCCTATATTTAAAAAAAATAGATTTATTTCAACAGTCTTAATTTGTCCTGCGATTTTCAGAGGTTTTGTGTATTTATCTGCCCTCCCCTCAACCCCGCAAGCTGTCTCTGGGCCTGAATGGCCCACTTTCTCCCACATTGCCTCTATCTCTACCCATCATTTTTGTCATAAAAGACATACTAAAGTCTATGGAATGAAGATAAGCAAATTAAGTTAATATACAGATCTAATTGATTGGTAGAACAGACTGAAGGGATTGGATGGCTTATTCTTGCTGTGATGTTACTGTGAGCAGGTCAAAATTGAGTGCATACTGATGCAATTTGGAAGAACAAGGTGAAGCAATATAAATGAAATAGTGCAATCTTAAAGTTGTTTCAGGAACAGAAACACCTGGGTTTATGTGCAGAAATCCGTAAAAGGAAGGAAGATAAGTATATCAGCCTATGGGGAAAGAGAAGTGGATTAGGTTGGACTGAGTAGCTCCTTTCAAAGAGTCTGCATGGGCAAAAAGGGCACCTTCTGTACTGCATAACTCTGTGATTCCATTCCCTGCATTCCCCCTCTCCTTCTCCCTCCCTGTATTTTTTAACTGCTTCATCCCAGTATGTTGGCTCATTTCACATTGCTTGTAACTATGCCGATCGATGTTCCCTCTATATTGCTGGATCAAAATCCTGGAATTCCTTCCCTAATGACACCTACATCCTGTGAAAGTAAAAGAAATATCTCTTGCATTATAGAGTCTGTGGGAGACAGTGGCATACATAAGGAGGTTCAGCGCCTGCGAAAACGTAACCAGCAGCTGGAGGAGGAGAATAATCTTCTCCGACTCAAAATCGACATTCTGTTGGACATGGTGAGTAGCCCCTGATGTCCAAAGGTACAGGTAAGGGGGAAGCCAGATGACTGTCATATTGGTAAAGTCAGATACCAGAGTGACACCTGGCTGGATAGACCGTTAGATTAATTTTTATAATGTGGTTACGGTGGTGGTCAGTTACTGAACATATTCACATGAGGCTACAAATGTAACTTTAAAAAAGAACATAAGTTTATCACATAAAAGAAAGGAAAGAAACAAAGCACTGTATGACAATTTATAAAGATCTTATCATAAACAGCAAAAGAACTCAACCGTTTTTCCCAGCTGTATCCTTGCAGACACTCAACCCCAATGAAGTATTACTCCTACCTTCTGTCTTCAATTTCTTACTCAACTGACGAAGTTGTCAAGTGTATCCTTTTGGGTAGATGTGATTCTGTCAGTCTCTTTCTGAGATACAGGCCAACTCACTGAACTCTTCAGGGTTTTTTCTGGTGTGACCACTTTGAGGCTGCTAAACAGCACATTTACTGGTATTCTTCTGAACGGAACCTGCTTCTGGACTCTCTTTCTCTTTCCTTGAGTCGTAAAAGTTCAACTTAATAAACACTGCAGCAATTAGCTCACCAATTAGCTTCACTAGTCATTTGGCCTACGTTGCATGATGTTTTTTTGAAATACTGCTTAAAAAAATGAGTTTCCAGTTTTTTTTTTGAAAAAGTCCCCTTCACAGAAGTTACAAACCAAAAACCTGTTAATATGATCCAATTAGGAGCCCTGTCTGTCAGATATAAATAGGAGTGTGAGACGTTCTGTTCACTCTGAGAGCTGGTCCTGAGGAAGCTGGATCAGCGTTAGGGAGTTTCCACGTGTAAATAAAGGGTGGTGGGATACTGGCCTCTGTGGAGTTATTTCAATAATAATCATGGAATCCCTACATTGAGGAAACAGGCCAATTGGCCCAACAAGTCCACACTGCCCCTTCAAACAGCATCCCACCCACATCCAGCCCCCTACCCTTCCACATAACCCTACATTTCCTATGGCTAATCCACCTAACTTTACACATCCCTGAACATTACAGGCAATTTAGCACAGCCAAACTACCCAACCTGCACACTTTTGGACTGTGGGAGGAAACTGGAGCATCCAGAGGAAACCCATGCAGACCCGGGGAGAATGTGCAAACTCCACACAGATAGTCGCCCTAGCATGGAATCGAAGCCGGGTCCCTGGTGCTGTGATGCAGCAGTGTTAACCAGTGAGCCACATGTCGATGAGCCACAGATACCTATTTGTATAATGTATTATAGACCTCAACATGACTCTCCACAAACAGGGATCTGTAAAAGGCAATTAATTTACCATTAAAAGTTCTTCCTAATGCTATTTCTATTTGCTGTCAGTAAATATAGTTACATTAAGCATGCAAAGATTTTCATAATCATATTCTAGACTAATTTTTTCATGCCCTTTTTGTTCAGCACCATTTGCAACTCCTGAAGCAGTCCATGTTCGAAAGCAATAAGAACTGGACAATATCCAGGCTTGGAATGAAACATGGCAAGTAACATTCATGCCACACAAATGCCAGGCAGTGAAAATCTCCAATAAGAGACAATCTAACTATTGTCCCTTGACATTTAAGGATGCTACCATCACTGAATCCCCACTACCAACGTCCTTTGGGTTATGATTGACAGAGATTCAGCTGAACTCCCCATATAAATACAGTGGCTACGAGAACAGGCCAGAGGCTAGGAATCATGATCTGACCCATTTCCTCTACTTTATTCCTTTAAGTTTTTCTTTTGCCAAATCATGATGTCTGATTTCCCTCTTTCTTTGGAATTCAAGTGTTTTCATTACATTTCCCTTTTTTTATATATTTCCTCTGCTTCAGTTTCAAGCTTTGTTATTTCCAGTATTCTCTTCCTTTCTCCTCCATTGCTGTTTTCATCCTTAACACTTTCCTATTTTCTTCTTCTTTCCTTCTATTTCAAGTTTATTTTGTTTTTAATTGAAACTCAGCTCAGTGTGATGATGGAATATCAATTTCAAGTTTTCCTTTCTTTTAAGTCTAAATGCTAGTTAATCCATTTAAGCATGTCATCCTTATGAGAATCTGTTTTTATTTCTACCTTCAATTTAATCATTAATTCTCTCAGCGTAGACTTTCTCAAAGATTTCAAATAATCCACTGTTACATTTTCTACTCCCAAAAAGTTCTTAGCAACAGTCAAGCCACACAGCATCAGAGGCATTTCTGAAGAAGGGTCCCGACCCGAAACGTCAACTTTCCTGCTCCTCTGATGCTGCCTGGCCTGCTGCGTTCCTCCAGCTCCACACTGTGTTATGTCTGACTCCAGCATCTGCAGTTCTTACTATCTCTTAGCAACATTCAAAGCCATTTTGCAATGTACTTCATAACAATCCCTATTTTTAAATTCAGTATCTTCATCTACTCGTTTTTTAAAGATTTACAGATCCCTCTTAAGTTCAACTGATTTCTGGTCAGCAATTGACCATATTCATACAAGGCTCCAATGTATTTTTAACAAAAGAACATAGCTTTATCATACAAAAGAAAATAAATCAAGACTGTATATGTCATACAATTTGGAAATATCTTACTTTAAACAGCAAGAAGAACTATTCAACAGTTTTCCTAGCCAGATCCTTTACAGACACCCAACCACTAGTGAAGTATCACTCTCATCTTTACTCTTTAATTTCTTACTCAACGGACAATGTTGCCAGTGTTTCCTTATGACCACTTTCTGCACATTTAGCAGATGTGACTATCTCTGTCTCTTCCTCAGATGCAGGCTAACTCACTGACTTCTCCCTGATCTCTCAGGAAACAGCTCAGGGTTTTTTTTTCCAGTTACTTTTCCTACTTTGAGAATACGAAACCATTCATCTGTGGTAAGGATCTTTTCTTCAGAACTGAACCTATTTCCAGCTTCGTTCCCTGGGTTGTAAAAGCTGAAACTAGTAAACACTTCGGCAATTCTCCCACTAGGTAGTGTATCTAGTCATTTAGCTTAAGGCACATGGAAATTTTTTTTTAACCACTGCTAAAACAAAATGAGTTTCTGATCCTATTCAAAAAAAAAAGACACCTTCACAGAACTGAAAACCCAAAATTCATTTACCTCCGCTTTAGAATCAAGTTCACATTTAATAACAAATTATAAAGCTTCATGGCAGGTAAAGGAGGCAATGTCTGATGAATGTTTGGGCTTGGATAACATTGTTGGGGCACAAGGGAGCATTGGGAATAATGAGGAGTGATTGGAGATATCCTGACTGATAATTCCTTTGTTTGCAGCTGTCTGAAACAACAGCAGAGTCGCACCTGATGGAGAAAGAGTTGGAGGAGCTGAAGACCCACAACCGCAAGAGGAAGTGAGAGACTGCAATGAAATTGACAGATGCAATGAAAGATGTGCAGCATTGGGAGATGGAACAGAGGACGAGTAGCTAAACATTAAGAGAAAAAGGTTGAAATGTGTGCAGTGTCTCTTTGGAGATACCGAGACTCTTGCATTAAATCTCCAGCTGGGCGTAGGAAGTGGAGTCCATCACCCACCAGGCAGCATCTACATGCTAACCCTGCAGGGAAAAGAAAGAGGCTGGAGACAATTGACGGTCATAGTTTCACAGCATTTTCCTTTTGTAACACCCGTTGAATGAGTGATGTGATGTTGCTTCAGGAACCTTGTACCCCACACACTTGTAGTTCAAACTTTCAATCAACATTCAGCCAAACAACCTCTGAAGCCAACATTGAAAAGATTCTGAATGGACTGATTAACAGGAGCATATGCATTCAACCCCTTTGTGTTTTAATATGGAACTGTCTGTGTAGGGTTGTGATGAACTGCTTATTTCAGAGTCCTGGTAACCGTGTAGGACGGATCTTCATTGCCATTGGCCAATAGTTACACCATAATTTTTTTTTCCCCAAAATTGCAGATGTAATTAAGTATGATTGGGCAGTGATCCAGTCTTGTATCTTTCTCTACCTTCCATCCTCACCCAGGAGAAAGGTTTGTTTCAATGTTTACCTCTGAACTGATGTTTATTCTAATTTTTCTTGTTCTCATTAGTTTCCAGCACTTGGCTTTTAAACCCCTCATCAGTCCAGTGAAACCCTTTCATTCCATACTCCAATGCTGGGATTTGTGTTTAGGTGACAGAGACCAAATTCTCTGAGAATGCTGGAGAAACTCTGCAGGACTGATAGCATCTGTGGAGCAAGATACAGTAGTTAACATTTTGAGTCTGATATCACTCATTGGATCCAAATCCTTAACTCTGTTTTTCTCTCTACAGATGTTGGCAGACCTGCTGAGTATTTCCAGCACTTTCTGTTTTCATTTTAGATTTTCGGCATCCACAATACTTTGCTTTTACTAAATAGCCTGAATCTGAAGGATGCCCTGACACTGTGAATGGATTGGGACCTTTGGTCATAGCATAAAGTGCTGCATTGAGAACTGGTATTCACTTGCTCCTCTGTTCAAGTGAACTGTAAGAATATAAGAGAAAGGGCAGGATGAAGCCATTTGATCCCTCGAGCCTGTTCTACTGCTCAGTCAAATCAAGGTTGATCGGATTTTTGGCCAGAGCTTCACTTTCCTGCCTGCTCTTCCCCTTCCCTTGTGCCCTCATTCCAAATCCAAATTTGCACAGATGCACACTCTTGTTTCCTCCAATGAGTTTCTGTAATACTTCAAAACTATACAGAACAGAAAATATGGACCAAGTTAACCTTCATTTGCTGCCGTGTTATAGGTCTGTTGGGAGATGGGATTTCTTAGTTTCTGATCCTGAAAGAGTGGTTTCAGGGCTGTAAGTCCACCAGATAAAGTATAACTTAAGCTTTGCTTCTCTGTGATCATTGCTGTCTCTTTTAGTTTGTAATTAAAACCAATCGATTTCAAAGCTACAGTCCCCTGACTCTCATTAACTAGAGACGTTTGCTGCTGTTAGGGATAGGGTGGGAGGGTGGGCCTGCGTGGGATGGTCTTTGGAGGGTTGGCATGGACCTGCTTCGACACTAGCGATTCTATGATCCTATTTAGCCTCTCATAACTCAAACCCTCCAGTCTCAGTAACATACTTGTAAATTTTTTTTGCATCCTTTCCAGTTTAATAACATCCTTCCCTTAGCAGGGCAACTAGAATTGGCTCCAAATATGGCCTTACCAATGTCTTGTACAGCTGTAGCATAATGTCCCAACTCCTGTACTCGATGTTCTGATCGATGAGAGCAAGTGAGCCAAACACCTTCTTCACCACCCTGTCTACCTGTGATGCCACTTTCAAGGAACTAAATATCAACACTCCTGGGTCTCTGTTTGACCACACTTCCCAGGGCTGGACCATGAACTAAAATGCAAAACCTCACATTTATATGAATTAAATTTCATCTGCCATTCCTCGGCCCACTGGCCCAGTTGATCAAGATTCCATTGTACTCTTGGATAACCTTCTTCATTGTCTACTGTACCACCAGTTTCGGTGTCATCTGCAAACTTACTAACTATGCTTCCTATATTCTCATCCAAATGGTTTATATGAATAACAAACAACACTAGCACCGATCCTTATGGCACAGGCCTCCAGACTGAAAAACAACCCTCCACCATCACACTGTTGTCTCCTACTATCTAACCAATTGTGTATCCAATTGGCTAGTTCTCCCTGGATTCAATATGATTTAACCTATTAAGTAGTCAACCGTGTGGAACCTTGTTGAAGGCCTTCCCTTCATCTATCTTCTTGGGCACCTCTTCAAAATTTTATGAGACATGATTTCCCATGCACAAAGCCATGCTGACTATCCCTAAGCAGTCCTTGCCTTTCCAAATGCATGTCGATCCTGTCTGTCATGATCCCCCCCACCTCCAACAATTTACCCACCACCAACATTAGGTTCACTGGTCTGTAGTTCCCTGGCTTTTCCTTGCAGGCTTTATCAAATAATGGCGCAAAATTAGCCACCGTCTAATCTTCTGGCACCTCACTCATGGCTGTCCATGATACAAATATCTCTGCTAGAGGCCCCGCAATTTCTTCCCTAGCTTCCCACGCTGTCCTGGGATACACTTGATCAGGTCCCAGGATTTATCTACCTTTATGCATTTTAAGATCTCCAGCAGCTCCTCTTCTGTGATGTGGGCTCTTTACAAGACATCACTATTTATTTCCCCAAGTTCCTTAGCTTCCATGTCTTTCTAAATGGTAAATACTGATGAGAAATACTTGTTTAGGATCTCGCCCATTTCCTGCAGTTCCACACATAGATAGCCCTGTTGATCTTTAAGGGGCCTATTCTCTCCCTAGTTATTCTTTTGCCTTTAATATACTTGTAGAATCTTGTTAGATTCTCCTCTATCCTATCTGCCAAATCTGTCAAGTCCCCTTTTTGCCCTCCTGATTTCCCTCTTAAATGTTCTCCTACATGCCCTATACTCTTCAAGAGATTCAGTTGATCCCAGCTACATGTGCCTGACATTTGCCTGCTTTTATTTGAAGATCCTCATATCTCTAGTCATAGAAAGCCTACAGTGTGGAAGCAGGTCATTTGGCCCATTGAGTCCACACCAACCCTCTGAAGAGCACCCCACTAGATCACTACAACCCAACATTTCCTTAGCCTGCACGTCACTGGATATTATGGGCAATTTAGCATGGCCAATCCAACTAAGCTGCACGTCTTTGGACTGTGGGATGAAATCGGAGCACCTGAGGAAACCCACGCAGACATGGAGAGAATGGAAAATTCACAGACAGACACCTAAGGGTGGAATTCCGGTCCCTGATGCTGAGAGGCAGCAGTGCTAACCACTGAGTCGTTGTGCCGTCATAGAGGTCTCCAGCACGGAACAGGCTTTTCCACCCAACTTGTCCATGCCACCCAGTTTTCATAATTTAAACTAGTCCCATTTACCTGCATTTGGTCCACATCCTTCCATACTTATCCCATCCATGGTACCTGTCTAACTATTTCTTAAATGATGAAATTGTACTTGCTTCCACCATTACCTCTGGCAGCCCATTCCAGAACTCACCACCCGGTGTAAAAAAAATTGCCTCTTTGGACCCCTTTATATCCCCTCCCCTCTCACCTTAAACCTATGCCTTCTAGTTTTAGACTGTCCTACCATGGGGAAAAGCTGTTGGCTATCTACCTTACCTATGCCTGTCATGATCTTAAAGAACTCTATAAGGTCACCCATCAGTCTCCTATGCTCCAAGGAAAGAAGTCCCAGCCTATCCAACCTCTCCTTATAACCCAAACCTTCCAGTCCAGGTAGCATCCTAGTAAATCTTTTCTGCACTCTTTCTAGTTTAATAACATCTTTTCTATAGTAGGGTGACCATTACTGCATGCAGTATTCCAAATGTGGCCTCCCCAATGTTTTGTACAGCTGCAACAAGACATCCAATTCCTATACTTAATGCACTGACTGATGAAAGCAAGCATGCTGAAAGCCTTCTTCACTACCCTGTCTACCTGTGACGCAATTTTCAAGGAGCTATCAACCTGTAGTCCCAGATCTCTCTGTTCTATACCACTTCCCAAAGCCCTACCATTGCCTGTCTAAGTCATGCCCCAGTTTGCTTTACCAAAATGCAGCACCTTGCATTTATATAAATTAAACTCCATCTGTATTTCCTCAGCTCATTGACCCAGTTGATCAAGATCTTGCTGCATTCCCAGATAACCTTCTTTATTGTCTACTATGTCACCAAGCTTGTGGTCATCCACAAACATACTAATAATACCTCTTAAATTGTCATCCAAATCATTTATATAAATGATAAATAACGGTGGACCCAGCACCGAACCCTGTGGCACAACGCTGGTCACAGGCCTCCAGTCATCCAGTGTTCCCTACTCCTGCCAGCTTTGTCCATCACACAAGCAGGAAAATACTGGCCCTAAACTCTTGTTATCTCAGTTTTGAAAGCTTTCCACTTGCCAGACATCCCTTTACCTGCAAACAGCCTCCCCCATTCAATTTTTGCAAGTTCCCATCTAATCCATCAAAATTGGCCTTGTCCCAAATTAGAACTTTAACTTATGGACCAGACCTATCCTTTTCCATAACTATTTTAAAATTAACAAAATTATGGTCTCTGGTCCTAAAGTGCTCCCCTACTAACGCCTCAGTCACTAGCCCTGCCTTATTTCCCAAGAGGAGGTCGGTTTTGCCCCTTCTCTAGTCGGGCTATCTACATATTGATTGAGAAAGTTTTCCCAAACACACTTAACAAATTTCTCCCCATCCAAGCCCCTAACACGAAGGCAGTCCCAGCCTTTGTTTGGAAAGTTTAAATCCCCTGCTATTACAACCCTTAGAGGTATCTGCAATCTCATGAACATAGAACAATACAGCACAGGAATGGGCCCTTTGGCTCATGATGTTGTGCTGAACATGACGCCAAATTAAACTAACCCCTTCTGCCTGCGCTTGGTCCATATCACTCAATTCCTTGCATATTCATGTGTGTATCTAAAAGCGCCTTAAACGCCTCATCTTACCTGCCTCCACTACCACCCTTGACAGTACGTTCCAGACACCTACCATTCTGTAAAAAAGACTTGCCCCTCACATCTCCTTTGAATTTTACCCCTCTCAACTTAAATGCATGTTCCCTAGTATTAGACATTTCAACTCTGGACAAAAGATTCTGACTGTAATCATTATCTATGCATTTCATAATTTTATAGATTTCTATCAAGACTCCCCTCAGCCTCTGGCGCTCCAGAGAAAACAACCCTAGCTTTTCCAGCCTCTTCTTATAGCTCATGACCTCTAATCCAGGCAGTATCATGGTACAGTTCTTCTGGACCCTCTCCACAGCCTCCACATCTTTCTTGTAATACAGCGACCAGAAACACCCTCCACATTTACTCCTCAATTCCCTGATGACTATTGAGAGGTCCTATTGTATAAGCCAAGCAAAGTGATCAGCTGCTTCTTCATAGAATCATAGAGTCCCTACAGTGTGGAAGCAGGTCTTTCGGCCCATCAGGTCCACACCGACCCTCTGATGAGCATCCCATTCAGCCCCACACCCCTACCCTATAACTCTGTATTTCCCATGACTAACCCACCTAGTCTGTACACCCCTGGATACTATTGACAATTTAGCATGGCCAATCCACCGAACCTGCACAGCTTTGGACTATGGGAGGAAGCCAGAGCACCACAGGAAACCCACACAGACATGGGGAAAATGTGCAAACTCCCACAGACAGTCACCCTAGGGTGCACTTTGAGGCAGCAGTGCAAACCACTGAGCCATTGTGTCACCCCAAATTCTTATTTCTCTGTTCCACCTATACATCTTCACTGGACTGTTCCTCAGTAATAGTCTAAGTATTGCTGTGATGTTTCTCGTAATCAAAAACACCATTCTCCCTGCTCTCTCGCCACCCCTCCTATCTTTCCTATAGTGTTTGTACCCCAGGACATTGAGCTGCCAGCCCTGTCCCTTCCTCAGCCATGTTTCTGTAATAGGTATCATAGCTGCTAACAGTTGAATGTTCCCATCCATGCCCTGAGTTCATCTGCCTTAACTGTTAGATCTCTTGCATTGAAATAAATGCTGTTTAATTCATCAGTCTTGTGCTGAGTCCAGAGATTATTACCTTTGAAGTCCTGATTTTTAACCTCCTGCTTAACTCCCTATATTTGTTCTGCAAGACCTTATCCCTTTCTTTAACTGCGTTGTTGATACCATTGAGTACAACAACCCTTAGCTGCGCACGCTCTCCTTGGAGAATTTGTTGAAACCACTCTAAAATGTCCTTGATTCTGGCACCAGAGAACATTTCTGTTCTGGTTTAACGTGGGAGTGGAAATGGGGAGAAGCTCCTGAAGTTGAGAGATGAGACTTGTGGATCAACGTACCTGCAAGCAAACATA